TCAAGGAATGAAAAGGGAATATGAATTTCATTATTTGATCTGAGGTAAATTTTTTAATTTAATTAAATTGGAAGAGAACATGCATCTGTTAGGGGCTGAATTGTGTCATTGCAGCTGATGTTCTGCTTAGTAGACAGTGTGAAATAACTTTGACCCAGGAGGAGTATTTCAGTTACAGTACCAACGCCAAGATTCTGCTTTTTATGTCATCAAAACTAATTTTCCTCTGTGCAAGAGAAGAATAGTTAGTTAAAGGTATTTGCATGGGACTGTCACTGCCTCCATATCTCAACTTGGCAAACAAGTTCATCCCTTTATGGTTGCCACCACTTTATTTTCATGGAGTGAGAACTAACAAATAGATTTCTCGAGAAGGTGCAATACTTTACATAGTCTTTACTGACAGCATGACTGAACGTATTTGCAGATCTAAGGCCAAAATGGGCTGCCCGCTAGACTGTGAAGACCTGTGGGATACATGCTCCAGGGAGTCTAGTGCTCATTTAAAAGAAAGGAAGACAGCTATCTGTTACTGTAACACCAAGAATGCTGCCAAGCTCTTATAAAGCTTGAAGAGCACCTCTGGAACTTTAAAAAAATCCTGCATAGAACTCAAAAGGCTTACTGAGGGAAACAGGTGTTTTAACCTCTGCCTTGTAATGGAGAATTAAAAAAAACAGTGAAGCTGAATGATTTTGCTAAGGTCACTCAGCAGGTCAAAAAGAGGTAATAAAGTGCAATTAGCAAAGCAGCAGGCAAAGGTAAGAAATTGCAGCAGGAAATGAAACACAGGATGTATTTGGAGCTGATTTGTTTTGAGAATATCACTTGAGGCCTTCTGCACTTTACTAGCCAGCTGGATGGCTAGTAGAAGAAGCTAGCAGAATGTGTGTGTGTGTAGTAAGCATACATACCTATGCAAAATTTACATTGAAGAAGCCTTTTATTGTCTTTTTTCATTTGCATTATAGCTGTATTTTTCTGTATCTGCATCACCTGTTGCCATGGTAAGTTTCTCAAGCTGTATGTCTTTGATGAACAAGAAATACATCTCTAAACAATGAAAAGGGCTTGAGAGTCCTCATAATACCCAATGCCTTCCCTGTAGCACTGAGGACAGCAGGATTAGACCTTAAAAAACCTATATGTTGTTAAACCTTATAGTGCTTACAGTTCTAGAAATAACAGTTCAGTATTAGACGATTTTATGAATAATTTTAGACACAGAGTTGGGGTTTTTTTTCTACTTTGGAGTCAACTTAGCTAGATTAATGGAAAGAAGAAACCTGGCTTTGTAACACATAGTCAACCAAAAATAAACCTAAGAATATATTTAAGTATCTAGAAGTCAGGTTTGGGTTTTTAATATAAAATAATTTTTATATCATGTTCTTCATCTGGACTTGTTTGGATGACTCATTCTCATTCTCAACTCTCTTAGACAAAACAGAGAACTCCAAAATAAGCTAGACAAGTTCAATCTGTCATGCCTCCGTTTCTCTCATTGTATTGTAAATGTACTATTGGCAGGGGTGGTTATACTATCTAACATTCAGATCACCAGCATTTTTTATAAATGCAACTAAGTCCACTCCAAATTAAGTTTTTCATGATGTGTATCTGCTCAATCCAAGGATTTTGCCCAAAATGCCAAAAAGTTCAGAAAAATAAAAGAGTTTGGTCATTTACAAAATAATAAAAGTTCCTCCTTTAACAGCAAATGTCTATGAAAGTATATATAAGTGTTGTGGTACACTCTAGTGCTGTTTTCTCATGCATAAGAGTGTAAGAACCTTTGTCAGACCACGAATCTCTCCTGACAGGTATCTTTTTTCTGTCAGATCCAGAAATGGATGCTTGGGGTACGTGGTGGAGGGGTATAGAAAAAATAGAAGCTCTCTCTGTATTCAGAAATTAAACAACACCAGAATGATTCTATCTTAGACTTGGTCTCCCCAGTGCCCATATTTTTAACTCTTGCCCAATGTGCAAATAGACAGCTGTGATAATGTATAAGGGTTGTATACCCAAATAGGCTATTTATTATCTGTGGAACCACTGCCAGACATTCCCAGGTCCTGGAGTCTGTGTGGTGAATTGGGTTACAAGAAAAGTGGAGGGACTTTCATGACCAAACAGCTGAGCTTGACTAAAACAGAGGAATGGATTATATTCTCCTTCAGCATCTCTACAAGCGGAATTTTGCGGGAGGGTAGGCAGATTGCTCAAAGTAAAAGCCAGCTGATGCTGTATTTCTTGTTGTTTTGAGGCCTTACAGAAAATCCTGGGATCTGATTGGTGGGCCCAGGTGAACCTCATGAGGTTCAACAAGAACAAGAGCAGGGTTCTGCACCTGGGCCAGAACAATCCTTGCCATCAGTACAGACTGGGGGGTGAGGTGTTAGAAAGCAGCCCTGAGGAAAGGGACTTGGGGGTGCTGGTGGATGAGAAGCTGGACATGAGCAGGCAGTGGGCACTTGCAGCCCAGAAGGCCAATCCCATCCTGGGCTGCATCAAGAGGTGCATTGCCAGCAGATCCAGAGAGGTGATTCTTCTGCTTTACTCTGCTCTGGTGAGACCTCACCTGGAGTGCTGTGTGCAGGTCTGGAGCCATCAATATAGGAAAGACATGGACCTTCTGGAGCGCGTCCAGAGGAGGGCCAGGAGGATGATCAGGGGGTTGGAGCACCTCTGCTACGAGGACAGGCTGAGGGAGCTGGGGTTGTTCAGCCTGGAGAAGAGGAGGCTGTGGGGAGACCTAATGGCAGCCTTTCTAGTACCTGAGGGGGGCTACAGGAAGGCTGGGGAGAGCCTGTTTACAAAGGCCTGCAGTGACAGGACGAGGGGAAATGGCTTCAAGCTGGAGGGGAGCAGATTGAGATTGGAGATGAGGAGAAATTTCTTTACTGTGAGGGTGGTGGAGCACTGGAACAGGTTGCCCAGGGAGGTGGTTGAGGCCCCATCCCTGGAGATATTCAAGGTGAGGCTCAATGAGGCCCTGGGAACCTGGTCTAGTTGGGGGTGTACCAGTGACTGCGGGGGGGTTGGACTAGATGGCCTTTGAAGACCTGGACAATTCTATGATTCTATGATTTTCATCAGAATTGCAAGTGACATCATCAGGAGTTGTGCCTGACTATGCAAAGTGTTATTGAAGGTTAGGTATTTAAAAAATCAAGCATTGGATTTCCCAGGTTATGTGACAGTGATCAGTGGTTAATTTTAACTCAGAAATATAATAATAAAAATGTCACACTGGTGAGGTATTCGCATACTATTGCCAAAAATGGCATGGAAAATCAATGGCAAAATTCATAATTTTGTCCAAAAAAATTAAGGATTTGAATAGAGTTAAGCAAATTAATGAAAGACCGACATATTGAATAATGAGGATAAAAGATGTGAATGAAGAGAAGATACATAAGATGAGGATACTGAATAGCTGTTCTTTCAGTGCCCTTTCTTATGCATGAAATCCAGCAGAACAAAAAAATTAACTCAACCATTGTAAAGACTACATCAAGTGTATACGTGAAAGGAACTGAGTTACTAGCCCATAATTTATATTTATCTAACTTAAGAGCGCTTGTCTTACTTTAACCATTTCTTTTGCAAGCCTGATGTTTATATCTCCGTAATACTTTCCATCATAGAAAAATGTCTCCAAGTTTATGAAAGGGTTTACACAGTTTGCAAATTGAGGGTTATTGCAATTTGTAACAGGAACTTACTTTCGGGAGGGGAAATTCTCCTGAGGGTCCCAGAAATTACTTGTTGATGCTTCCATGAGAATCTGATTGTTTTGGAGAATATCATGAGACATCCAAAAACTTACATTTTGCCAACTCAGTAAATTTGCTAGAAGCTATGCAAAAATTCCCGTACCCCACTGATCAGAATTTTGTTCTTCTATGGATATTTACCTTAGTGTGGCATTTGGGGAATTATTGAGCACATTCATGACCTACTTTCAAATACCTAGCTTTTGCCACTGCAGGTACCCAGGGTACCTATGCATTCAGTGGAGTCATCTTTGTTTACAGAAAATAATTCAGAGTACCTAAACCAGGTACTCTAAAACAGTCTGGATGTACCTTCTCTCCATTGGCTGGTTGAAGAGACTAACTAATGAATTTTAAAAAATACCTCCCCTTCAGCCTTCAAGTTTCCTCTCGATCCATTGATTTTAGTAAGAACTGATTTTAATTAGTCTCGCATAGACCTGATTATGTTAATATTATCAAGAAATGAAACACAACTCCAACCCAACCTGTTCTCACAAGTTCCCATTCTCATCTGTACCAGCACTCAGAAGTAATTTACTCAGGATGAATATAATTACTCTGCCGTATTATCTGCATAAAGAATGTGGGTGTTCATAAAATTCACTGCCACAAACCTCCCTTTTTATTGCATTGATAAAATCATACTCTTACTACTGTGCACGGACCATGAGCCTTCATCTCAAGCAGATGATTGCAGGTGGAGAAAAGGTATTGAAGGCAGCGCTTCTTAAATTTGTAGCCTTATAAAAAGTAAGAAGTTAAATGAGAAAGCTAAGCTAAAGTGATGTCACCGAAGTTTCATGCAGTAACTTTACAAAAAAATTTTAAATGTTCAAAAAAAATTTCAAAACTAGAAATACCAATATTTAGGTTGTTCCCTGACCTCATTTTTGCTCTGTTTTGCACATTCATTATTTTAGAGACCCTAAGCAGATGATCACATGCTCTTCCATTCTACTTGTGTTTCTTGCAGGGAATGGGAGTGTGTCAGAACTGTGTAGCAAATTATGTTGTTATTTTTTGCAACTGGTTTATCTCATAGCTTGCAGAATTTGGAAGGTAGTGTCTTCCAAGAGTTTTCCGTCATCCAGACTAATCTTGTGTCACAGAGAGCTGTGTGAATCTACATAAATCCTTTAAGCTAAAATATTACTGTAACAGCTAATTTTCTGTTGTTCATTGAATATGTCTGCCCAACTTTATCTTGATTTTCAGATTTTCGGAGCCCTTAAGGAAGTTCTGTACCTTTTGAATGGTGTTCAGAGAATCAAGAGTGTTCAACATCATTTGCAATAACTCAGTGGGATCTGAAGGACTGAGCCTCTGGTTGGGACCCTCCACTGCCCTGAGTTCTGGACCTACCATTACCACTGTCTCTACAACATCAGCACTCAGACTTAGGGTGATCTCCCAGTCTATCAGGTGAGCTGTGGTATTTGTCTATAGGTTTCTAGTTTATGTCAAATATGAGATAATTCTGCTTACCTCAGCCTGCAAAAAATAGGGTTATTTTCAACTCACTCACCCTATTTTTGCCATTGGAAGAAAGCTCATACACCAATGCCTATGCTGCATGTTAATTTGCTACAGTGTATTTTGAGAATTTATCTAATTCTTATGCTCTCTCTCTGTGGTAAAGAAATATAATATTTAATCACCTTTCTCACAGAAGTAACATAAAAATAATCATAATATATTTGTGCAGTATGTTGAACATATAAATAGTTTTTTTTAAATGACCAATATTTGGAGAAATCGTCTCCCCTTGGGATGAGCTAACTCATTCTGATGGCCATGTTAGAACCAAATTTTGCAGATTCTGGGGATTTTTGCTCTGTTATCCAGTTGTTCACCTAGAAGAATCTTGATACCTATGTGAGCTGTTGTGAACATGCACTGAATAATGTTTATTAGGTTCAGTTACTGTGGTATTGTTGCTACAAACTATGGACAATGAAAACCTTTAAGAAAGTAAATAAATCTACACCAGTGGACATTTGGATGGAAAACAGTAAAAAAAAAAAGATTCATACCACTAGTGTTATATTTAATTCAATCTCATGTCCAGAATGAATTAGGTCTTGTGGAGACAAGGGTAGCAAGGGGTCCCATAAGTAAAGGCTATGTCCTCTTGGATATACTAAAGAGCATCATCTAATTACATTGGAAAGTATAAATCTAACATTTTCTAAATCTTCCAAACTAAATACTTATGTGGAAGTTATGTTTTCCTTTAATAAGCTTATTTATATCCATGTGTCATATAAAAATAGTTATTACATTCAGTTGTCAGAAATGAACTTGTTTCTTCAGCAAAGAACATGTGAAAACAAAGACCACTTTCAGTCTTTGTTGATGGTAGCTAGCAACATCCAGAAGGCTTCAGGTAACGAGCAGAAGTATCAATTACTAATGTGTAGTTACTGTATGGGCTGTTCTGGCAGATTGGGCACATGGCAGCAGAAACACCTGCCTCAATCCTGTACACACCATCACTTCCCATACCTCAGGTGCGACCACAGTCCTTCCCTTGCTCCTTCTGACTGTACCTCAGAAAACAGACCTGAAGCTTAGTCTCTTGCACTGCAGAACAGCACAAAGTCCTCTAAAGGATTCCATTCCTTTTCATCATGTGTTCTGAAAGTCATGACTCATGACCCTTTTTTGCTCATGACATTCTTGGATTTACTCTCTGAAAAAAAAATTAAAAAGCTAATAAAGCTAATAAAACTATGCCTTGCTTTAGATTTAGATTTTTCTCTACAGACAAGGAGCTAAAACAGTGTGTCCAAAAGCTATTCAAACCTAACACATCTCTAGACTTGAGAAAAAAAATCAATGTATTTTCCAAGATTCCTCCTAGCTAGAGCTGGAAATAAACCCTAGGTCACGGTAGTCACACTCCAGTTTTAAGTAGGCTGTGAGTGAGAGAAATAAATGGGTGAAAATATGCAGGTTTCTTAAGGGTTTACTTAGATTATAGTTAAGTGTGTTATCACTTTGTAAATAGTAATCTAGGGCTGTTAGAAATGTTTTTCACATTTTAGCAATGTGGAATAAGAAGATTGATGCCTCTATTATTATTTGTGCTTTGCACATAACAAAAGGAAGGAGAAGGGGGAGGTTGTTTGCTCTGTATCACACAGAATGCTATTCATCAGAAGCAAAATGCCTTTACTTATAGCCTAATCTCCTCATCATTGGACTACATTTCCTAAAATGAATTAAAAGTGGCACTTGGAGGTGGGTGATCATTTTCAATCTTTGTCAAAATAAAATGACTTAATGTTCTTGAAAACTCAAATTAGTGATTCCTTTTGGCTTGATAACTTCAGATTTTAATAAGTGAAAAAGCATTTCAGGAGGGCGGAAGACCCTACTCATATTTCTAGCAGGTGAACAGAAATCTGTGGAGAAAGGGAAGTCTGATTTTTCCTCATCCTGAGCAAGCCAGAACTTCGTAGTAAAATACTGAGGTTCATCTGCTTCCGTGCCTTCCTTTGCATTTTCTGACTTTCTTTTTTTTCAGCTGCATATATATGTGCATATATACTCAATTCAAGTCCAGAGGGCAATTTAGCCCTTCTTCAGGTATGCCAAAAACAAGTGGGATGAAATGCCCTCTGCTCCTGAGAAAATGAGACCAGCTGCCTACCATAGATTATGTAGCTGTCTTTTAGATAATTGAAAGTGGGTGAAATTAACTAAACTTTGAAGGAACAGGATTTTAAATTTCAGTTGTGGGAGGTCCTCACATCAAAAGCCATAGAGTGTGTGTATCGTATCATATCATATCACATCATATCATCATATCATTAATTAAATTGTGTAGAGCCGTGGGAACACAAGAGTTGACACGGATGCTTGTCCTTGGAGTTTGAAGTAAGCCTGTTCTGTGCCCAGTGCTCTGCTGTGGAGCAAGATGTTGAAAAGTGGGCCTAGAGAAGCACAGCCCAGTGCACAAGAGCTTTGCTGTGGTAGAACAGGAGTTCAAGGCCTTCTCTTTGAGCTCCCCACGTGCAGCATTCACTTCATGGAAACTGGCCGATGGAGTTTCCCAGAAGTGGATTTCCTGTACTATAAACTTTGCTCATTCTTTCCTCTGGTGGCTTTGTTGATTAATTACTTGTTTATTAAAGAGATGGGATTTGCTCAGGAGAAGGCAGTTCTCTTAATAACCCTCAACATTTTCAAAAGATAGATTAGAAAATTCCACCTTCACTTGAGCACTGAAGACATAGTTTTGTTTCCAGAAGTGCTGAAAACCTGCAGCTTTCACTAGCCTCAACTTCAGGTTGTCAGAAATCAGGAGTCATCACTGGCACACACAGGATCTAAATACCCTTACCCTAACCACCAGTTTTGAACTTCTTCTCTTGCATTTTTATACAGACACAGTGGAAATTAATATATTACAGATTTTGAGACAGGCAGCTAGTATTAATGAAAGGCAGAGAAGTACAGAAGATGCATATATTAGTGTAATATTTCACTAGTAGCTTGAACTGCAGCTGGAGTGAGCCTACTTTATTTTTCTAAAAACATTCCAGATGGCAGGGGTACGTTGCTGTACTCACGCAATATAGTAATGAACTATGAAAGCAGGTAAGCAAATAAGAAGATAAATGGTATAAGTATATGCATTTTTCTAATGGTAGGTAGAATTAAATGTTGGAGGATATTCAGCCTGAATATTAAACACTGTAGTCAATACTAGTAATAAATGCATTAAGGTGTTAGTTAGTCATAGATCTTACTGGTGAGTTTTGTAGCTACATCTGCAGCACGTAGGTTCAGGTGACTAAGCACTCCTTATAACACTGATGCAGAGATAACTAAATATTTAGTTAGGGCTGGATCTAGCCTTAGGCTGTGTGCTGAACTCTCTTTTCTCTCAAAGTCAAATATTATTTTTAGCTTTTATTGATCTGACCAGCTACTTCCACTTCGTTTCCGGTCAAATGTGCTTCTCCCCCTCTATGTCTAAACTGACCGACCAAAGAAGTTGTGTTCTTCAGACATGAAATGGTTTTTTATTACTGAGGTCCACAGTGCAGATCATTGGAAGTTATGTAATGATGTGAAAGGACATATTATTGAAAGACTGTCAGGAGACAGGAGTGTATCAAGCTTCTCAGAGCATCTGCCTTGCCACTCATGAAGAAGTCAGATGACATTGCAAGAGCAATTCAGTGTTTAATGCATGCACCTCTGGTGGCCACGCTCTTCCACAGCGCTGGCTGGTGCAGTATCAATCACAAAGTCTGTAGCATAGAATTTAATACAGGAGTTTTCCATTAAAGAAGTTAGCTGTTGCAGTCCACAGTGACTTTCCTTCTAGCTCAGCTTGCCTGCTGAGGACACAGTACTTTGTCCTTGAGCAGGCAGGATTGCTCTCATCTTCTTCTTCCCACTGGAGCACAGAGAAAGCAGAGTGTGAGTATGTATGGAGCAATGTACAGCAAACGAGTAACTGCAACAGAGGCATATATTATTACTGGATTTTTTTTAAAATGTAAAGCAATAATACGTGAAAAATAAAAGCAAGCCTGTAACCATCCCGAAATTCCCCTAAATATGCAGTAACACCATAAAAGATGCCTTTATTTACTACAAATAATAAAACTGTAGCATTACACTAATCAAATTCAGATGGGTTCAACTGCATAATTTGCAGTGAAGAGGTGCTTATGAAACACAAAATGAACTCCAGAATGAAAGGTTCATTGCTTCCTAATCAAAAGCAGTCAACGTTAAACACCAGCCAGTCAGGTGATAAGTTTGTCATTTCTCAGTTGCACTCTTGAAGGGAAGTTGCCAAGGAGGCTTGACAGCCTTTAAACTTCACAGAGCATTTTTCCCCTGTTTCTGAACATCGTGTTGATCTACAAAAACTCCTGGGAGGGTGGGAGGAGAGGCAGAGTAGCAGCAGTTCTAGTAAAATATATTTGCAGCGATGACTGTCACACAGAGTTTATGGTGTGAAAAAAAAAATGTGTAGTTCCTGAAAAGAAATTTTCACCACCCTTCGTCTGGTTCTTTCTTGTCTAATTGTGTCCAGGTACTTTGAGGGACTGAGGAGTGTCAATGATTAATTGCATAGGTGTCAGAGAAGTACAAGCTTGTAATGCATCATTAAAAGCCAGAGATCAGGGTGTCTGAATTAAAACAGGAAGCTCTGAATGAATATATTTCTGCTATATATAATTAACAGCACAAGCCAGAAATCACTTACTCTCATACTTTGGAACAAAGGCAGTTCTCCACTGAAAACGTATTTATAGTAGCTTTACATTGCTCTCTACAGACTTAGTACAAAATGGAGAGACACAAATAAATATGCACCGAGGCAGTGACAGAGAAACATGCCTCTGCACTGTTCTTTTCTTTTAATCAGCATGAGCTCTGCTAAATAGGGGAAAGAATTATGAGTAGGTGGAGGGTATCTGGGTTACTGAGGGCAAATCACTCTCAGGGGAATGACTTTGCTATTTGAGCTGCAGAGTCTGACCTTTATGTGACTTGGGATGAACAGGTCTTCTCTGTTTTAACCCAGCATGAACCCAGCATGCAAGGCAGCCAGCCTGAAGTCACTCCAGCATCTTTCCCTGCATGAAGGTCTGATTTCCCCTCCTTTGGCACTTATACCATTGTCCTGGGAGAATTCTCTAATGCTGACTAATGTCTTCTATTTCACATCCTCAATTGTAGGACCCTGTAGGTATTTCAATAATTTTTGGTACTGGTCCCGTTTAAGCTTCTGAGGTTCTTAAATTGCTTCTAGGAGTTTATTTGTCTTGCAACTTAGGTTATAAAAGTAGTTCCATAAACATTAATTGAACACCCATTAAGCAGTATGGCTGTTTGTTTTGGGTTGATAGAGAACATAAAGCTTCATACCCTGTGGTGGAAAACAATTAGATCTGATGATGAACGCGCTATTAAATATACCATTTCCAGACTTGTATCAGTTTAACTTTAGAAAATAGCAACCAGCTGTAGCCAAAGCATGCACAAGTGATAGAAAGTCATATTTTAATTGTCATGTCATAGCCTGTTATAAATATTGTCGTTTCTAATGTTTTATGCTAATGACAGTGACTAATGGTAGTCATTATCTCCATTCATTCTCATAAAAAATTTCCTCAAGAGAGGACGATCATAACTAGAATGCTGTTTAAAATTAAACTGTGTTTTTCTAAAATAGAGAACATAAAAAACACTTAAATACCAAGAGGTTGGCTAGCTAATTTATTTTGTTTTGAGTGTGTTTGACAACTACAGCTGTTGTTAATTGTGCCATGAGTTGAATGAATATTCCTTTTAGAAAAGTTTTTGTCATACTAACATGTGTATGTGCGTCATGTCTTCATATGGTCTCTGCAGAGTGGGGTAAGAGGTGAACCTCATCGCAGGATACCTGTGGCCAGGAAAAAAAAAAAAAAAAAAAAAAAGTGATGCCACCCCTGTAGAGCCTTGATATTAAGAACATTGAATTTCCTCATCCATTTCTTATTTCAGTTATGAATTCTGCTTACTTGACAGGTACAGAGTACTTCATTATGTGCACGACCAGAAATGCTTAAATGGATGAAGCAGCTATTTACATCTGATAGGAGCTAAGTGGGACACTAAATTAATGCCAAACAAGTGAGTGCTCATTTTAGTTTCATTATAAATGGCTGCAGCACAGCAGTAATGTGTTGACTCTCATGTGCTGACAAGTTCTATATTTCTTACAAACTTCCCTTAGAGCTCAATGTGAAAAGACAAGCTCACACTCTGCATGATGAAATTAGCAGCAGATGCATTAATAATTGAATAAGGATCTCTGGAGACACACCATAGTTCAGCAGGAGAGTCAGTGACTGGCTGGTTTTAACTATATGACTTTTGTCGTATACATATATAAATATATATGCACTTACATAAACCCCCAAGTTAAGAGCTGCTGCCCATATGTAGCCTTTGGTATCAAATCCTCTTCCTGCTTTTAGAAGACCTTGCATGGTTACATTTGGCAGGTCCACGAGCAGATTGCTGACCATTAATCTCAGCAGTGTATGGCCTTGCTCATCCCTCCTTCCCCTGTGATTGTTCTCAAACTTACAGCTAAATTCAACACAGTCCCTTATGAATTTGTCTCCAGATGATGAGTAGAGTATGAATGACTGAAAGATTTTCATTGTATTCAAGACTCTTGACATAGACCTCAGCATCTGGAGTTCCAATTGAGTTGAAACATTTTCCTGAAGTGCAAAACCCAGCTTTTCTCAGAAAAGCATCAAGATAACTGTACTGTCACCTTCACTTCGTCCCTGTAAGCAGCTGATGTCCTTTGAACCCCAGGCATTGCAGATTTACAGGTTTAGGAAATAAAGGAGCTTGTGTATTTTTGACAGTAGCAAAGGAAACAAGACTTTGATTTCCAGAAAAACTTGCTTTTTAAAGATACCGCCAAGGCCATGATGCAATTCCTAATACTTAAATTATGATCATTCCTCACACCAAGTATTATGCTGAGAACACATTGACAAATAGTGTGACATCTCATAGACAGCAATACCATTGGGATAAATTCTCATGGGCTTAAAATCAGCACTTTATTGCACTAGCGCCAAGAAAGTGATATGAGTTTGAATAATCTGAAAATTTGTCGCATGTAGAAGAGTAGCAAAATTTAGCACACTGTTACTAGATTAACTCCACATAGTTTTCAGCTCTACTAACTGTCCATGCAGAGTTCAGTCACTGGTTTCCAGTTGCACAGGTTGAACTGACCTCTGTGCTTTGCTTTCCTTCAGTTACACGTTATTTTATAAATCTCGGGATCTGGTAGACAGATAAACTTAAATTCAAAATATTTATCAGTGTATTTTCTGGAGTTTCATCAACTAAAGGAAAGCTAGTTATAACCTTAGGCTTTCAAATATATTTCCATATTTTGAATAAGCTATAATATGATTTAATAAAATGGTCTTTAAAACAGTGCTCATTAGTATAAGTACAGAGTTCAATTCCTTCTCCTTAGATATGCAACTCTTTTTATTCATAACAGTGGATACGTTGTTTATTCATTAAGAGTTCGGCATCAATCTTGTCCTAATTGAAATATTGGACTTGAAATCTTTTTAGTATAAGAAACATTTAAACGGGTTCTGTTGTCACTTGAAATAGTAGATAAATCCCAGAGATTCATATTTGTATAACAAAATACTATTTCAATCTATTAGACACCCTTGAAATAACCTGCAAGTGATTCAGCTGAGGAAAGAAAAGTACATTTTTTTGCTTTGTGATGTTGGAGCACGGTGGAAATGTTAGATATCAGAGAGTATCAAATGAAGGAGTAAACATGCTAAAAGAATACCCTGATTTCAGCATCACCTCCTCTTTTGAGGTACTTGAAACAAAGATGTGAAAAGTAAATTGGATTTACAGATACATTTTTAGTGGAAACATGTATAATACAATACATTTCATTGCTGTTTAAAAAAAAAGCTCATGTTACCGACATCTGAGTTTTTAAGGAAAAGACTAAATACATAAAAAAGATCATGTACTACTGGATGAGAAGAATATACCTGAATTGCACAGACCAAAGAGGAATAAAGAAGCTGTATTGATGGGGAGGGGGGAAGAGAGATCACAAGTCATTAAATATGGCTTTATGCTTCACATCTCTGTACAGTGGGTTTAATCCTATTAACTGCTTTCCATTCATTCTGTTATTCCCATGGAATAGGATTCTAAGTCTGCTCCAGGTTACTCATGAATATTATGCAGGCTGGTAACTTCTGTATCTCTTGTTAGCGTGTACAAGGCACATCAGAGGTGCCCCTGTTTATTCTTAACATCTGAAGTAATCACCAAATTTCACTACTCCTGTAAAGCAAAGAGATTTTTTTCTAAAGCTTTCTAGTGAATGAATAAACCAATGGCTTTTATCCAGGTTTTGCAGGTCACTGAATGTTCAAAACAGCACAGCAAATTAAAAGAACCCCTCTCTTTTGCTATCATGGCAATTTTGCACTTGAGTATATGAGGATTTGCTAATATAAAAGCTATTGAGGAAGATATGGAGTGATTTTCTTCGAGCACTGCCTTGAAAAGTGGCAATAAATGTTGCATTTCAAATTACAGCTTTCCTTGAAATGTGACTTCATTTAAAAAAAAAAAAAAAAAAAAAGAAAAAAGAAAGCATCTTGGGCACCAGGTTTTTGTCACTTGGTGACTTCCAGTCAGAGGTTAACCACTTTGAGGTAAAAAGATAATTGCCAGGACAGTAACATCAGCAAGAAATCAAGTGGCTCCTTTTTGGTTTATGCCTCCCGACCAATACTGATGCTTCTGCAGGCCAGATTTTTTTTTTCCCCTTGTATATTCACAATCTTCTAGTCTTCATACTTTTCCTCAGTTGCCCCTTTCTCTTACTATTATTGTGTCTTTTCTGAAATGCTAGTGTTTAGATGTGCCAATGGAATAAGTTGGCAAGTCTGTTGGTAATCCATTCATGTATTTGTACTCTAGTACAGATTTCCCAGAAGAATAAATCATACCTGCAAATAGATGCGTGAGCAGGTATATGAGAAAAAAAACCCCAACCACCTTTTTTTACATTTTTTTGTGAACTTGAACACGGTTGTGGAGAAACTGGGAAATGCTGCACTCTCCATAAGCTGTCTGATGGGTACAGGCTCTAGGAATGGCCAACAGAGCTGAAGCAGAGCAAGATGTTGCAGCAGCAAATTCTTGCTGCTAGAAACAGGACAGAATAGCATTTCTTTCTTTGGGAGATCTTGGGATGTCAGGCTAAGTATGGACAGTGTCCACAGAGAATCCTAGCCTACTGTATTCAAGCAAAACAAATGCATATAGATAGGGTCACTCTGCATATCCCAGTTATCCTCTAAGGGCTGTGATAGCTGTGCTGAGCTGGCAAGGCTAAAAATTCAAACAGTCCCAAAAGATTGTATTTGGTTTCTTTCTAGTCCACCCTGAGAAGAGGCAAGGGCATTTTGCAAGGGCAAGTGCTTCCATGTATTCTCTGTAAATCATCTTTCAATTTGGCAAATCAGATGGGATGCTAATTACATGGAGCGATACAAGCTTTTGCATAAAATTAATACCCCTTCATTCATCCTAGCAAGCAATACCATAATTCTGCTTTTTCTTCTGCTGCTGTTTGAGAAAGTAGGAGTTACTTTTCTGATGTCCCATATGAGAAGCACAGCCTCTTCTGACCACAGAAAAAGGCGTGATATTTTTACCAGCTCTTTCCTTCTAATTTTGAATCTACTGAAAGAAATTTCCTCTCCCACCATGGTCTTCATCAGTTCCCTAACATTCCTTAATCCAGTTACTGTTGTCCCGTTCTTGCTTACCTTCTGCCTTTCTGGTAATGTGTGTTTGCTGACTTTGGAATTAAATGTATGTTTTGAACTTCAATATGCGGAAATGCCTAAAATTGGGCACTAACTTAACACATGCAGTTCCAAAATGTCAGTATTGTGTGTTTGGACCAGCCAGTAAAGAAGTAGACTTCTTCAAGGGTCTCTTTTAGGAGCTAACTTTTGCAGTGCGAAAACAGTAAACCCAGTTTTGTCTTTCAGATAGTCTTCTGAAAGCCCTGTCTCCCACACAGTGTAGGAGCATCTGCTTTAGTTTCCTGTCCTTTCTCTTACCCTACCTTTGCTAATCACTGCTCCTGGGGAGCTGATAAGAGATTTGCACACTGATGTGTTAAACCAGCTTTGGTGAAGGGAGGCTTTTGCAACTTAAAAATGTCAGTCTTCATGAGGAATGGGATGAAATGGTATGAAATAGACAGTGGTTTCAATCCTAATCCAAGCTGCAGGTCTGTTCCCCATATTTTCATCCTCTTGTAAAGTGGATTTGTAAAGAAATATTCAGTACGCATCTCCACAGATGCATTTGCATGCCATAAATATCTCCCCTAACATACTTCTATACTTGGCATTTTAAGACATTAAACATTTTTTGAACATAGTGCAGTAAAGGATTTCCAAAAGGTAATTACAAATTCAAAGACTTCAGGTAGGACAGCAATTCCTGAGTACAAGCAACTCAATTCTCAGAGTTATTCCCTAGGTGAATGCACTGAGAAAGTGAAGGGAACTGTTAGAAGGGCAGGAGTCTCGGGGTAGAAGTGGAAGGTGCAAGCAGAAAATGAGAGAAAATGGAAGATGTTTTTCTCTCTGAAAAATAAGAATCTGTGAATCTTGGATGTTGCCTAGCACAGCCAACTAAAACTCAGGCAAGGGACAAGGGATATAGTGTGGATCTTAACAGTGCTTATATACAAACTACCCCCAAAGGCCCTGGGACTATCAGTTGCTGCAAAATGGGGGGACAATGGAGACTTAAAAGGATGACCTGGGGCAGGTCTCAGACCTGAGAGACCCGAGCAGAAAGGCAGATCTTAACACAGGGCATTTCCTTCCTGGGGCAACAGATTTTGCACTCTGTACAGCTTTAGCATCACGCCTACATGAAGTCAAAGCCTTCAAACTGAACCTGGCTTCTGGCTTGTTTGTTTCTTTTTAAGCAATGGTCAAATCGACGCTGGTAATATATGCATCATTTTCCAGAGTATTAAAGCAGGCAAGAAATTATTAGCATTTATGTAAATATCTGGGTCATAATCATACTCTCATAAGGGTTAAAAACTAAAAACATCAACATGAATCACCCCTGTCTCTTAGGAAATGGAGCAGGGGTTAAATACTTCATGTTGTGAGTGCCCTCCAGCTTCGTGTTCCACTTTAGCATAGTGGAGTTGGCAAAATGAGCCAAAATTCGTTATTACTCTGATAACCTGAGAACCTCTTCCAGATGGTGGGATGCACCCAGAAAGAGATGACCTGTTGGATAACCCGTGCCCAAACCTGACCTAGGTGAAAAATTAGGAATAGCAGATATTTGTAACGGTGACCCAGTAGTGATGGACTCCCCATGAGGAATAACTGTGCTGACGGAGGAAGTTTCTCCCCAGTCTCAGGATTTTTGCCTTAAAGGGTAAGGATTTACATTCCTTTTTTTTTTTTAAAAGAAAAACATACCACTTTAGAATTTTTCTATATGTTGAATGTACAGAAGAAGTTCAACACTAGGGTTCCTCTAGAACACGAAAATGTGTTTGTTGTGTTCATTCTTTCTTGGGGGGGTAAGGAGATGTGGTTTCACAAGAATTATGGCTGCTCCCATTGCCCACAAACGCATATTTATGTTGTCTATGCAGAGTTTTAGTTCAATTCTTACTAATTATTTGGCTTAGTGACTTGTTCAAGTTCATTTTACATTTAAAAACAATATATTTATCTCTGAACCCTTCTGGTTTTGCTTGTTTCTAAATTAAATGAGTAGTAAGATTTTCATCAATAGGGAGCCATGACATTTTAGCCATTAGGATTTTTAAAGTATTTTGGATGCCAATCAAAGCACACTTTTGGGCTATAAAATAATCTAATATTGTAAGTGCACTTCATATTCAACTATTTGCTGTTACTTAGACATCTGTCATGCATTGAGCAGCTGTTTCTATTGGGATGGACACAATGACTTCTATATATTTTCCATGAATGCAATGAATTTAAAATCAAGGAATATATATTAGCATTCAAGTTTCTGAAGTACATCATTCTGCTTTTTGTCAAAATACACGTTGGCATACCAGTGTATTTCTCAGTGGCCTACTTTAACGTAATCTCTGAAATTTCTTAACTGTCTTTGAAGATCTATCCAACTGACACTTTTATGTACTTCCGATTTTGACATTTGCCTTTCAGCCATATTCATATATTTTAATTAAAGTATAGTCAGCATCAATATTTATGTGAATACCAAGGTGACACAATATTAGTCTTCTAATACAGCTTTCCAGTCGTTCCCATTCCTTGTTATCAGAATCTCAGCCAGCTTCTTATCCTCTCACAACTGATCTTTTTACAGCAAGGTTTTTAAGGTGTGACAATAATGGCATAGTACAGAGAGCAAGATTTTTTGTAACAACTGGTTGTTTAATTGGTAGTTGAATGGAAAGCATTTTCACTGCTTAGGTACTGTAAGGTTTGTCTATCACATCAGAAAGAAGTCTATCTCTGCACACCGCCACGGACCAGAGTCCAAGGATTGTGAGACTTTTTCAGCCTCTTCTAATGCATTATATAATGACAACATGAGAAAAAGTTGAAAATCCTGAATTAGACAGAAAAATGTTATCTAGGTCTACTGTTCTTGTGCTCCAGGTCTCTTTCTCAGCATTTCTACTCTCTCTGTACCCCAGAAATATTTTCTGTAACATTTTAATATTTTTAGCACCCTCATTAATATAATTTTGAGTAAAAACCAGTTATTTTGTAAATATTTGTGAACTGTAGACAAGCATTCAGCTCATTCCAGCATTTGTGCATTCAGCTGGCAGAATGAGCTAAGTGTTACAATAGTGCAAGAAATAATTCACTTAAAGAATGCAAGGTATACGCTGCAGAGGTTTACATACATCAGCAGAATACTGCTTATGCCTCTCCTATCAACAAGTTATTTCCACCACATGGAAATTGGTTGTTATAACTAGTTCTTTGTGAGAATCTGGAAAAGGGACGATAAAACTGATTTTGTCAAGGACAAAAGGAGAGTAAAAGGCAACACAGGAGTAAATAATAATATATTTAGGCACATAGTTTAAAAGATTTGAATGATCCCGATCCAAGCATAGGACAGTTAAGGGTGATAAATGTAATAATGCTGAAAAATAAATATGAGAACTCATTTAAGCTTTTTACTAAAACCACAAAGGGCTGACTTACCATAAGCTATAAAAGATGTGATTAAATCATCAACCTTTATGAATAATTACCTGTTGTGGTTTCTGAGATGCTTCTTTTTCTTCCAATACTCTTAATTATGTACAACTCCAAGAATTGATACCTGTAAGCAAATTCCAGTCTCAGACTGACAAAAAAAATAAAAATACATTTTTAAAAAGTCATTTCTTACTACAGTAATGAGAAATTCTATTCACCTCAGTGGTTCTAATCATTGGTGTATAGGTTGTAAGATCTGTCTCTAAAATTATACTGTGCTAAATATAAGAGCACAGAAAACAGCTAAATAAATGGGTTGCGTCAAGTCAGTTCAATCAGGTTCTGTGGAGTGTAGTTCTGTGTACCAATAAATGATTTTTATTAATTCCATTAAAGTAGCACACCACCTCCAAATATTTATAGAGATCAAGTGGACTCACTTCAGGATGAGCCCTTCATACATACTAGACATGCCATTTCCTGAAATGTAAACAATTGGCATCTGCTGAGCCATAATCCCTAAATCAGAAACACAAATGCTTGGATTATCAAAAAAAAAAAGGAAAGTACTCATTCTTTGTTTGATCTCCCAATGCATATTTTTTCACTTTCAGTGTTACATGCATGACTAGCGTTATTTATCCAGGACTGGAAATGCAGTGGCTATTTGCCATAGTGACCACAAAGGACAAATTTATGATCAAATTCAAGCCAATCCCAACCCTCACTGAAGCTCACTAACTTCAGGAGATTTGAAATCAAGCCTTTGATTCAATGCTACACCTACAACGCAGTACAAAGCAACCAAGATTCAATAATCTTAAGAATCAGAGAAATAAAAGGATATTTATTTTACCCCTTTAAAAGAGTAGGTGGATTTGATAGGAGAAAAATGAGGAAATATAGAAGGTAAACATATGTGTACTGTCATTGAAATCTATATGTTTTTTATATACATAAAGTATTAGCAGTTTGAAATTAAGCCTTTGATTCAATGCTACACCTACAATGCAGTACAAAGCAACTGAGATTCAATAATCTTAAGAATCAGAGAAATAAAACGATATTTTTTTACCCCTTTAAAAGAGTAGGTGGATTTGATAGGAGAAAAATGAGGAAATATAGAAGGTAAACATATGTGTACTGTCATTGAAATCTATATGTTTTTTATATACATAAAGTATTAGCATTCCACTGCACCAGAAATGAAGTTTTTAATAACTTTTAGGTATTCTAGCACAGACCTGGAACTGGTGTCTGTCGGATGTGCAGTGCATATATATGGAACACAGAATGCAGATATAATCTGCATACAGAATAATCCATTGTACAAACTAAAGCTATAACAATGAGCAAACTGCTTCAAGTCTAATGCTGAGAGAGTGAAATTTGAAATTCTATTTCAGAGTAGTTTATTTTTGGAGAGGTTTTTTTCTTGAATACAGAGTTAGTAAAGAGAACTGGGAAGTTGGAGAAGGGTGAGGGCAATACTGTCTCAGTTGCAGGTGTTGGTGCTCGGGACCTGGGGCACAAGTAGTGACCTTGGAAGTCCTGCCCATTCTGTTTTGTGCTCTGTTTTTTAGGCCATATGGATCCCAGTAGAACAATTCATAATCAAGCATTTGCTGGGGTTTCAGGGCTTCCAGTCTTCCTATTCCCAAGCCACGCTCCAATCACTGCTCCCAGTCTCATCCCAGGGGCTCTAAAAGTTGTTGGAGCTCCTCCAGTTCCATAGCAGGAGGACAAGGAGCCAAGCCCTCCAGGTCAACCTGCCTGGTGAGGGAGTTTCCTGCAGCCACTGCTCCTTAAAGTAATGTGTTGGTAACTGCAAACTGGAGCTGGCAGTGACCTCTCTGAGCCAGCAACTCTTTGGAGCCTGAGGTGTTCACCAGGCATTGCCTTTGGCAAGATGACAGGGTAACAGTCACATTTCCACTGGTTTCTGCCTAGCTTTACACATGTTCGTCACAGACACTCAGTGTCTACTCAATTAATATTACTTTTTTTACTCCAGAAATCTATTTGGCTGGGAAGTAACTCTAAGTAAATTTCTAGGAAGACTGGGATTGTCGGCATATAAAAGACTGATCCTTTGAAACTGCTGCAAAACAATAAAAATTAAAATACTTCAGTACCCCTAAGTGCTATTTTAATTGTTTTAATAAGTCGCTTTTGTGCTATATTTGTGCTTCACCTTCTATTAAATTTCTGGACACATTAGATTTCGTTATACTCTGTAAGAAGAATGGAAGTTTTTAAAATTTGTTGTTAGGTTACATATAAAATTTCAGGTCTCTGTATTAGAATTTCCATACCACTTCAAAATAATTACTTCTTTTCTGTGCAAATATGCAGGTTTCAATTTCATTCTTACCCTGCCATAAGAAATCCAAAATTCTAGTCAGTGTAAAAAATGAACCCTGAGTCAATATTCACCTCTTCCCCTTTTCAAAATAGAGTGTAATTTTACCAGGCATCAATTTAACCCCAGGGTAAAGGAAAGTAGTTTTTGCCGTGCTAAATAACAAGCTGTGTAAATTTCAGCTGTTGGGGATCTATTCTGTGCCTCCAACAGGACAAAAAGCTATTTCCAGTGGTTATCACTTTCAGTGTCCATAATTTAAAATAACCCACATACGAATATGATTCAGGGGAAATCTAGTTTTTCTGCACCCTTACTCTTACCAAAAAGGTCTTGGTAAACAATACAAAATCATATTATATTATGGCCCTCCCTTGATACTAGAATTGACATAGTACAGTGCATTTGTGTTTATAGTTTATACAATAGTGCATTCGACCTTGATTTTATTATTCTACTGTCATATAATTCATGCCTTTCCAGATTTTGTTGCGTTGAGTTCCTCGCTTATTCACCTGGAGCAAGGCAAGAAAAATAAGAACCTGAACCTCTTTAATCGTAGCCGTGAAACGAAGGTAGGAGTTGAAGATGCTGTTCCTCCTGTGGGAGCCTGTACAGGCACATATCCATATGGCATCCACTGCACTGTAACAGGCAAGCAGGACACAAAATCACCTTTGATTTTTGATCTGAGAGAGTCTCTGTGCCAGTAACAATACCGGAAAGAGCATCCCCAACCTTAGGTTAGGTTAGTCCCTGTTGTAGAATGGTATTACTACTTCTTGCATGGAAAAGAGGAGTCTTTCTAGTTTCTCCAAAAGCAAAATGCAGACAATGGCAACTAGCATTAGTAGGATCTGTTCAGGATTTTTCACCTTTTTGTTGTTGTTTGTATTTTCACTTGTGAATGTTAAAGCCATATTTTTGGTCAAAAAACCTCCAAAGAATGTTCTTAGAACCACAAATGTACCAGGGAATTTTTAGTCATTTTTATTTTAAAGTAGCCAAGCTTACTTCATCATTGTTGAGCAGTTCAACTACCTGTATCCCTAAGATACACCTGCATCCTACTGTGATGAGTACCTCAAGGTTAAGAAATACCCTGTAGGAATTAAAACACTTGTCTTTTTTTCAAAATGGGTCAGTCATTATGGACTGCTTCATTGCCTATGAAAAACTAAGGAAATTTGCATGAAATCAAAGTAAAAATTTGCATGAAATAAAAGTAAATACAAGGATCTAAGCTTGACAAGCAAGCATGAAGGGATATTTGGAGAACTGAGTCTGAAGCAACTTGCTTGACATCTAACTTCAAACAAAAATTTATTGTAGAAAATTCGTGCTACCAGGAAATCTATCCAGCTACTAGATTCCTACAGGATACATATATAGCTCATGTCTGAAGAGAAGAGGTTGAGGTACTTAATTCCTCGAGAAAATTGTGTGATTTTTCAATTAAAAAAAAAAAAAAAAGAGAGAGAGAGAAGAAAAGAAAGCAGAAGGAAAAAAAAAGGAAAAAGAAGAAAAACCTTAACGTTACAATCCATTGGTAAAATTAAATTGGTTTTCTTGGGTTTGGCTTATTGGTAAAATATTTGGGAGTACACAAAAATGTTTCATAAGGACGAGTTCTCCTGTCATGTAAAATCCCTGTCTTTTCTTCAAGGGCCTGGCACGAAAACTGAGTTTTCTACCTGAATTCTATTTTTCTGACTAAAAGCCAGAATGCCCTGAAAAATTAAGCTGCCACTAGCCAATGCTGTCAAAAAAATACCATATCTCAACTGTTCATGCTTGTTTAATTAGACTTCACTCTTTCTTCCTTCTCCTTTTGAATGGTATTTGTGCATTTGTTATTCTCCAGGCTTGTTTTTCCACAGTCCCTTGAAAACAAACCATAAAATCAATGATGCTGAAGTTTATGTAGGCTTAATATTAGGCGAAAAAAATGGAAGTGCCTAGTCCTGCTGTCGGTGGGATGAATTTGTGTAGCACTTCTAAGCAGGGTAGTCTCATTCTGAGAAGAGGAAGAGCCATATGGCTCCATTTTATGGGCGGCTTGTTTTGTAATAGCTCAGAACAAAACATTTGTGATCCTTAACCAGATTCAGATTGCTTATATAGGTGGGCAAAACAGCCATGCACAGTGCTGCGGAGTTCCAGTCTTTTCCATGTGCTGCCCTGTTGGGAAAGCATGCCGAGGCTTGCAGTTTATCAAGAAAGAGGAGAAACGTTGCCTCTGAGGAATCTATAGATTCATCAGGAGGTTCTCATGGATTGCGCGGTCTTTGAGGTCAGCCTGCGGTGTTCAGTTCATACCCATAGCCTTCAGTGCCTCCAATAAGAATGCCTTTGAAGGCATCCCCAGGCAGAACAGGACAGCGTATGGTGATGTGCCACACTGCTATTTCAGATATGTAGCTGCTAGAAAAGGTTGTAAATTCACATTTCGGTCACCAGATGTGCTACCCATATGAGCATCCATATAAATACTAAATCTCTGAAAGGATCTTAAATTGCTTGCTTTGTCTTTGCCCCTTCCTTTTGATGCTGAGCTGTTTGCATGAATTGAAAGTGAGAGAATAGTTAATACAGTCTCTAGTTCCATTGTAAACCCTTCCTGATTGATGACTTGCCTCCTCTCGGGACCCAGCATTATAGCACAAACCAATTGGTGTAACTTGCAGCTAAAACTATTTCTTGGGGTTGTGCTTCTTTTCTAGGGAAATGTGTTTTTCATTAATACTAACATTCAGACTCAGGAAAAAATGTTCCTAAGGAAGTATGTTATACACAGAACTTTAAGCTATTGCTCTTGTTGATTATAGCAATCTATTTTTCTACAGAGAATCATGTGAATTGTTACCTGTCATTGCATCCCCATGTTCATCTCTTTATACTTGTGGGCGTGATACAAACCACTTAAAAAAAATTCACTGCCCAGACTCGGCGGTTTCCTCTGTTACACCAACATATTTTTCCTGTTGTATCTTTTGATTCGATAAGTGCTAATACACAGATTCTTACCTAGCGCTTTTAAAATGCTTGCTGATCTACAGAGACAACAAAAGTAAACAACAGTTAACAAATTGCTCTGATAGATAGTGCGGTCCCTCAGGAGGCATTCATAACACCGACACCAGCGCTGAGATATTCTCTCTCAGGAGCACCATTAACAGTCATTTTATCACCGAGTGTGTATGTAATTCTGTAACATCAGTCCCAATGCTGGAGACAGTTTTCCCAGTCAGAGGTTAGCTATAAGGTAAAAGCACTTCACTATTGAAAAGAAGGTGGAAACCAGCCTAAAGTGTTAAATTTCCAGTTTAGAGTCCCACTAATTTTTCTTTTTTTTTTTTTTTTTTGTGGTTGGACTCAATGATCTCAAAGGTCCCTTCCAACCATGAAGATTCTGTGATTCTGTAATGCAGACAGCAGATAGCAGAACCAAGCTGTGAGCAGAGTGACTTCTTAAAAATCAGATACAAAGGGACAGCTTGTGTCTTATTTTTCATTTTGATTAATAGTTTATTTTTGGTTTAGTCTGTTTTAATCCCAAATTAGCCAGAAAAATAATAATTTAGAGAAGGACACAGTGTCACTATTTATAATAAGTTGGATATGAAATTTGAGTGGGATGCTATTTTAATTCCTGTAAGGCTAAATTGGTAAATAGTATTCAAAAACTGGTACAGAATTATTTATTCACAATATTTATGAAACTTTTACTGGAAAGCCATGTGCCACTATGGTTTGTTGAAAAGGATGTTGAAAATCAAAAAACTGTACAGAAGAGAGTTCTAACATTAAAAAAAAAATTAGACAAAATACACCAACAGAGAGACACAATAGAAATTCTATTAATGCAGTTAAGACTGAGAAGTAGCTTGACTACAGCCTTCAGATACCTACAGGCAAAAAGGATTTCTGTTGATTAAGAGCTCTTTAATTTAAGAGGAAGGAATGTATAATTAGCTGGAGCCAGGAATTCCATTCTGTCCCCTCTCTGTCCCCAAATTAACAACGGGAGCTTTTAACTATCGTAGCAATCTGTGTCCTTCTGAAAGACAGAGAAATTTTGGGGATCATACAGGAGGTTAGACTAGACAATAATTTCTTCTGCCCTTAATATCTATTTCTGAATTTAGGAATCTGTAAATCGGCAAAGATTAATAAGGTTAAAAGAATCTGGCCCTTAGTCATATATATTTTATCATTTAATTACATTTCCATTTGAGGTTTATAATTCAGTTCTCTTCTGATTTCATCGCTGAAATTTTTCTACATATTCCAGAAATGGAGTCTTTCTTATTTTAATTAAACTTTGGACCAAATAGAAGCTCTTCAGCTTGAGACTCTGAATTGTTATGAGGAAAATTTAAGTAAACATCATTTAAGCTTTGTTACAAGTGAGCACAGCAGTGATACAGTATAAAAAGTGTTAATGTCTGTTATAGCCCTTGAGCTATACAAATGTGTGGTTCTGTTTTGATCATGCTTGATATACCATGTCTTGACTAGGTCTTATTCCATTCTGTTTCTACAGGTTAGTGAGACTTTAATCAAGAAAAAAATAAAATATCTAATGAACAGCAATTTGAAACACAGCATTTGGAAAGGTCAAAATGGTACATTACATCCTTATTATCCAAAAGAACAGATGAGTTTAATATCCTGGCAGCATTTTCCTGTGAAGAAGATATTAAACAAGAATTGAAAATGGCACAAGGTTCCCTCTTCCTTCCTTATGACAAAGATTGTAACAAGGTGATGAAACTCTACAGAATAAATCTTTCTGCTTTAATGTTCAGGCTGTGGATCCTGCCTAGATTTCAAAAGCTAACCAAAGAGCCAATACCCACGGTCTTTGTTTCAGGTCCTCTACAACACATTTTCCTGCTTACATTACTCAGTTTCCATTAATATTTTCTAGTCTTAAAGGTGGGAGGAGATGTTAACAGAAGGGACACGGTGCAATGAGTTTTGGCAAGTGCTCATGGTGTTGAAGTGCAAAAAAATAATGCACTGCATCAGCACTGCTTACAATGCAGATTTTTCAGCTTTTCTTTGAATAGACCTAAGAACAGAGATAATGTATTCCAACACACAAAGCATTGCACGTGTCCTGCTTTGGAGAGTCCCTGAAGGTATGGAACTGTTTGAAGGCAAAGGAATTTGTAGTGTATCCCTTCAGTTGTTAACCATTTGATTACTATAAGGAACTGTCACAATTTGCTTCCGTAAATCACTGGCTGCGGGAAGACTCTTCTTTTTACTTTATAGCTCTAAGGAGAGAAAATAACCTACTGGAACTTGATGTTGTATTTTAACACTAAAATACACCAGCAGGGTCCTCATGTTTAAATCTTATTATGACAATTGAACAAATGCTATGCTTAAAAAATCAAAAAATGAGTATATGGTTGCACTTTTATTAGTTGCTTGTATTCATTCCACATGAGATACGAGAATTCTGCTATTGTGTAAGAATGTAACGAGTTATATATTAAAGGTGTTCATAATTATTAAAGAAAACACTTTATATTATTCCAAAAGATATCTGTCTTGAAGTATTGCTGGCTGAAGTAGATGTACACAGATTTGCACAAGCTCAAAAGCAGAAATCATATCGAACCACTTTTTTCCACACCATCTAGGGAATAGATTTGAAAAAAAATTCTCCATGGTACATTACAGACAACATGAGAAGAGACACTCTGCTTTGGTCAAGAGAGATAAAACAAACATATCCAAAATATGTTTTCAATGTCTCCAGTGAATATATATCTATATATATGTGTGTGTGTATATATATCCTTGGTTTTTTTTCTTTTCCTTCGGTGATTTTATTTTCCACTGGAGATTGTAAATGCATTTTTCATCCTTTGTTTTGCAACTATAAAGTAGGATAGCTTTTTCAATGCATTAGAAATGTGCAACCTATTTTGAAACTTCAAAGGTTTTGCAAAACTACAGACAAAAATCCCTAATGGGCGTTCATTTCATAAATGCCTAAAGAAATTAATATTTTCCATGTGTCTAGAAAAAAATCCACTAGATACAAGTTTCTATCAAGTTCCTTGTGTGATTTAGCTAATAGTCCTTGAAACTGACAGGACTACAAATAGCTCTTTTTTGCTTCCCAGACAGATATATGTGCCTGCGAGTATGCAGCCTACAGAAACTAATAAACAAAACTATTTTTTCAGTTCCTGCTTATTATTCACAATAGAAATCCGTGAATTTTTAAAATTTGAATTACTAAGAACTCTGACCGTATATACTTTTGCTATGAAAAAATAAAATATATGCTGTTGTATCCATTTTCTAATGGATCATGTTTAGGGAACAACTGAGTAGAGCATCCAGCATATTGAGGGGGGGACTCAGTGTACAGTCACACAAACAACTCCAGGGTTTCTCAGAGAATGAGTCCAATATATCTGGTGAAGACAGTGGGTTTCATTACACTCTCTTCAGTTTGCTCATGATTATGCAAAATGCTGTTACTGTGTCACACACTATTTAACATGGGGAACACCTTGAACACATTATGCAGCCTTATTTAGTTATTTCATGAAATGGATTTTTTCCACTAGGTGATCGTAGTCATTCTGTTTTGAAAAATTCCCAAAGTAGTCAAGTATGAACCAATATGCCAGTTTGAAGTTAGACTTTAAGAGGGATCTTCTTTAATCACTTATTGTCAATAAATCATGTGGTGGTTGGGCATTTCCATGAAGTCTTTCTTTAATGAGGAAGGTGAAGAGTACAAAATGAATGTAAAATTTTGGACCTCTGAGCCCATGAGAGTCACATCTCAAAGTAACGGATCAAGTAATCCTCTGTGGAGTATATTTATTAAATTAACAGCAAGTGAAAAAGGGATGTGGCTGATGGGAATAGTGTCATACTGAAGCAAGATCCCAAAAGAGAGATGTCAAAGCACAGCAGACCATGTCCAGCACATGCATTTCCACACATGTGATTTTGCACCAGGTGGTGATGGTTCATCGTGATGCCAGTAAGAAGGGCACTCAGACTCTGTGAAACATTGCCTAAAATACCATTTATTGCAGCTAAAAAGTGACCAGAAGATGTGGCACAGCACAGCATAGACCTGCACCCGTTCAGGGTAAGTGCTGTGTGGGTCACTATCTCCTACATGTACAATGGTTTTCTGGTCAGAATCTCTGCACGTGTATGCACACATACCTAATTTGCATCCACATACAAAAAGTCCCTTTTGTGCTCCAAAGTGAACCGATGCATTGTATTCAGATCTGCCCACATTAAAAATCTATACATGTCTATTGCAAACACTCATTCGTACAGATCTCTGTGTCCATCAAGCTAGAATTGTGTAGGAAGTCAGATAGGTTTATAATTGTGCAATTTATACCTCCAAATGCTGTTAAAAGGCTATGTAAGTACATTTTTGGAAGTGCGCTTTTTGTGCCTGCAGCTGAAAATCTGGTTATACTTGCATTTGAATTTGTTTTGTTTTGTCACACACTGTTACTTGATATTATAAGAATAAATAATCCATGAGCTGGAAAACGATCTAAAATCAAAGGAACAAACTCGGTTGCATTATTAAAGAGAGATTAAAACAATTTGACATGAAAAGCGTTTTAGAGACAATACAGGCTGTCTGGTTTACTGATGTGCACACACAGGAGGCTGATACATCATTCAGCCCTGCTACCACCTGACAGCTCTTCAACCCCTCATGGGAAATGTGGTCATGGTCACAGTCCAGTTCGTAGCGGACAGGTGTCAGTGTCACAAAAATCCTCATCACTACTGGCACTAATTGGCACCTTTGTTGAGAGTCCCAGCAGAGAGGCCAGTGAATGAATCAGCATGGAGGCTGCCTTGCAAGCTTCCCTGGCACAGGGCGCTGGGCTCAGCTCTTCTTTCACCAGAACCATCCTTAGCTTGGCACGTGTGTCAAAGGGACACAAGTCAGGTCCTGGCACTCTTTATTTGCCTGTAAATTCTACGAGCATGTGCATTGCTGTGGCATAGCCCTGGAAGTGATGCCCCTGCACAGAGAGTCACATGCACCTCAGGGACACTGAAGCCTGCCCGTTGACACTGGCCAACAGAAGACTGTTGGACACTGTGGACTTGGGCTTGGGGTGGAAGAAGACCAAAGGGGATGAAACCAAAGGCTGATATAAAGGAGAAGCCACACATAGAATCATACAATGGTTAGAGTTGGAAGGGACCTTAAAGATTATCAAGTTCCAACCCCCCTGCCCTGGGCAGGGACACCTCCCACCAGAGCAGGTTGCTCCAAGCCCCATCCAGCCTGGCCTTGAACCCCTCCAGGGATGGGGCAGCCACAGTTTCTCTGGGCAACCGGTTCCAGGGTCTCACCACCCTCACAGCAAAGAATTTCTTCCTGGTATCTAATCTAAATCTCCCCTCTTCCAGTTTAAAACCATTACCCCTTGTCCTGTCACTACACTTCCTGACAAAGAGTCCCTCCCCAGCTCTCCTGTAGCCCCCTTGGAAGGCTGCTCTAAGGTCTCCCTGCAGCCTTCTCCAGGCTGAACAACCCCAGCTCTCTCAGCCTGTCCTCATCTCCAGTCTTATCCAAGCTTTTCTCAGTTTTAGTTTATTTTAGATGCAAATGTGATTCCTGGCTACTTCTAGTAGCCACTTTATTCCTTGGCACCTCAGTTTATTCTTTTGTATGAAGATCATAATATTTGTCTCACTCTCAGACCTAATATGAGGCTTTGCTAACTATCCAATGCTTGAAGTATATAAACACCTCTGATGGAAGTCAATGGACACATTAAAACTCAGGTTTCACATTTATAACATCTTTGGTTTCTTAGTAATCCTGTTAAATTAGTTGTAGGCAACGACTACTGAAAGTATCCATTTTGCTTTTATCTTTCTATTCACTCTGTTGAATATTAAATACAGGTTCTTCTTCCACTCAGCCTGCCTTGTCCAAAACAATGATTAAAACTCATTTTCCTTTGGTGTACAGAAACCTGTACTGTTTGTGGGTTAATTATTACTTACTTTTTTTTTTAGCTCTATAGACAAATGTAATATAAGTCAATGATGTGACTGCAGAATTTGAGAATGTCTTTATGGCAATAAAAAGAAGTAAAATAATGGGTGATAAGTTTGATTACAACTAACAGCAGCAGTAACTGAAGTATAGAGAGATTATTAGAGCTCATTACTACCTTTTTCCAAATTGAAGAAAGAAAGGCAGGAAGGAAGGAATGACAGAAAGTAAAGGAAGTAAAGAAAAAGAAAAAGTAGGGAGGTTGGGCAAAAGGAAATTAAAAACAGTTCTAGTTTTATGTGTATGGAAAAAATGTTGAATTTGTTGCACGTGGCTTTGTCAGGATATAGATAAAAGTGAGAAAACCAAACTGGAAAATGGGCGCACAAAGTCAGGTAAATACATCATAAAGCACTGAAAAAAAAATTTGTAAAAAATATGTAAAAAGCTTATCTGTTTATATTGTTGCACCTGAGGCCTACCTTCATTAGAAATGGTAAGGGTATAAGATAACATGAGCACTTACAGAGGCTCAGAACACTGAGCCAGATTCTGATCTCTCCCCATTGATTTTTCACTGCTGTATTTCATCTGATTTCAAGGAAATGTCCTCTCATTTACATGCATCTGCATAAATTCAGGAACAAGCCACCAGCTTTTGCTTCCTCCAGTGTTAATAATGAGCAGTGGCTGCTCCTAAAGACACTCTGGAAAAGGAATATGTCATCGTTAGCCTAATGAGGGGAGAGAGGGAGAGAGATTGCTAAATGTTTTCTCTCTAGCCCAATTAAAGGAGAGCGAGCAAGACAAAGAGAGGGGGAAGGCGTGCTGGAGGGAGAGCTGCGTACGTGACGGATTTCTTCCTGCCTTTAGCTACAGGAGCATTCTCGTTAGGGAGAACTGGAAGAGACAGGGGGATGTGGGAATACAAAGGATAAATCCTTTGACTGAAATCAGGCTGTGGCAGCACGGGCCATCAGTCTGAGCCGCACATTAACATCCAAAAATAGCTTGCTTAGGAAGCAGAGAATATGATAACAAGTACTCTCTTGTCATTGCTGCTCTTAAGACAAATTATTCATGCAAATATGAAGGAGCAAGGCTTGCCTGCCTGCTGAGATCCTCCTTGGCCATCCGTGGTCACCTTTCAGTTCTGGTCTAGAGGAAGAGTACTTATGTATGAAGGACTCCACCGGTCTGGATGATGCAGAGCTCACTGACAAGTGCCAACTCACTGTTTATAAAACCAGCAGAACTTGAGACGTTGAAATTTTTGTGCCAGCAACATCAGGCCTGCCAGAAAGAGTGTCTACATCTCAAACCTCATACTAGGTCCCACAGTCCCATGGGCTGGGCCTGGGCACTGTCGGGAGGGGTGGTAACTCACCTGGCCCAGATCTATGCCTGGTACCACGCCAAAAATTTCGTTGACAGATGTGCCATGCTGTGACCACATATTAAAGACATACCCATCCCATGGGCCTCAGTCTGCATGCGTGTGACCCATGGTCCGTGGGCACGTCCACGGTGTCTGCAACAGGACAAAGGCATGAGCAGGCGGATGATGAGTGAGAGTCAAATGAAAATTCCTTGTGTACAGACCCTGAAAAGTAACAGGGCTGCACGGCTACATGAAACACAAGGTTTTCTCCTTAGGTTTTAAGGTTATAGAGATATGTGAGCAAAGGTAACTAGGAAGATGGGATATTCCTTGTCATCATGTCGGACACTAGGCCCTGATGGGATTTCAGGGTTATAGCTCACAGTGTTCTCATTACCAGCACAATGGCCTGAGCCATACAAGAGAGCAGAAG